AAGAGCCCCCAGGGAGAGGCCCCCGGGCCAGGCGACAGGAGCATGAGGGCCCGGAGCGGGACGCGGGGCGCGCTGCTGCTGGCGTTGCTTTTCTGCTGGGACCCGACACTGAGCCTAGCAGGTAGGAGCGAGAGGGTGTGGAACGCGGGGATGCGGACCTGGCGGGTCCCAGCGTCCAACTGCAAGTTCGGGTGGTTCTTGGGGAGTCGCTTCGCTCCCGGAACGCGGTAGGCGCGCCCAAGTTAAAAGGCAGCTTCGGTGCTCGGGAGAAGGGGCGATGCGTTGCTACCTGGGGTGCCACGTAAGCCCGAAGCTCTCTACTCATGTCTCCAAGGGATAGTTGTTTGCCCATGGAATGGGGTCTGATTCATTTCCAGGTGACCCCCGATTACCACCTAGAAACTGTCGCTACCTGGGCCGAATGGGTGTTCTGTGCCATTCGTCTGCAACTTGAGTCTGAGTCCCGGCTCCTGCGGGCTCTCACGGGCAGCACGCGCAGCATTCTGCGGGTCAAATGGAGAGGGCCGGAGACTGCGGAGCGGTGGAAGCGCTTGTTCCCCTCCGCCTTGGGGGAGCGGAGGCCCGATGGCTTTAGCTATTGAAGGGGGAGGGGCCGAGACCTGCACACCATCCTCTCCCGAGGTGCGGCGCCGGCGGGTTTGGGGGGGTTTCGTGGTTTGTGGATTGTTTCTGGGTGAGCGCTGGTAGAGAGTGGAGGGACGTAATGTCCCCTGCCGACTTTACCATTTTTAAGTGGGTTATTGGCAGTGTCTCTGTTCCGGGAATAAACCAGGTGAGCTCGCTTCTGCACCGCACCTGGACCCAGCAAGATGCTCTAAGAGGGTTTGGTGGACTCCTAAGTTTATAAACTCCCTAATCCTCCTGTCCGGCCGCGAACGTAGACGTGTCTTGCTGGCTCTGTAGTAGCTCTGCTGGGCGTTGCAAAGCGGGCTGCATCTTCAAGGGAAGGAAAAGTACACACTCGAGCTAGCTTCTCTGGTACCCAAGCAGGTGAACTGCCGACAGGGTGCCTTGACTCCCCGAGCTGGGTGGGGGGTAAGGAGGGGCATCTTGTACAAAGGCCTCTCTCTAAGCAAAGGCTCAGAATAGGGCAAGAAAACTAGCACTTTGAGCTCTCCTCATCCCACCTTCCCTCCTCCCCACCCCTCTTTCTTAAAGAGCTAAAGGTCCCTCCTCTGGAATTAATGATTCCCACGGCCAAAGCTTGCTTCTAGCACATCCCCCTCTTCTTATTTTCCCGCAAGCCTTGTGCTGTAAAGTTACAACACTCAATCATTTGATCCAAGTTAATTATGATTTGGGCAGACTCGGGTATTTAAAGCAGCGTTTTGAAGTTGGAAGGTAATGATGGGGAAGGGGGGAGGCAAGCTAAATGACCAGCCTTGTTTTAAAGGGTGCAGTTAGATGTGGGAGGTGCTGGATTGGATGTTAGTTTCAGTTTAAGGCTGTCTGGGGTGATTGAAGGGTGGAGTGAAGTCTTTGGAAATGGCACACGGGCCAGGCTGCATATATATTTTTCAGTAGGGCAGTGGGATCCGGAATAGATACCAAGGTTACTAGGGTTGGGGCTCCATCTGGAGAAAAATGGGACTGGTGGGCGTGGAGTTTTCTGGGTAGGTGGGCTGGGCCAGGAATGCTGGAGATGGCCTGCTTTTTTCTGCTTAACAAAGCGTTCAGCCCCCGGCTTCCCCGGAAGCAACCCCAGGCCCAGGGCTTTGATGGATTTGGGCACGAATGGTGCCCAGTCAGAAATGGCCTCTAATACCCAGCTTTGATTTCTCACGAGTGAGCAGAAGCGGTGTTGGAATTGTGCTCATTACATAGCAAGGTGGCGGCCTCCTGCCCACCAGCCTGGAGAAGGGCCAGCTGCTGGGGTCTGCCTGCAGCCTTCCTTTGCCCAGAATGTGCTGCCCTTAGGAACCTACCTTCTGGAGGGAGAACACGCCTCTTCTCACACAGTCCAGTTTCCCCAATGCCACAGGCATGAAGCATTTTTCTACCGGAACGGAACGCTCTTTGGGTTTTTTCAGTGTCTCCCTCCTGATCCCATTTCACTGATGAGGAAAAGCAAGGCCAGAACCTAGACTTTCCCTGCATCTTGTCTTCACTTCACACTAATTTTGGACTACTATGCTGGACTCCTTTATGTTAGCTAGACCAACTTCAACTACAGGGGGCTGGCCTTCCACACTCTTCCTGACTGCCATGAGATAGTTGTCTATTGCTGAGGCAAGAGAGATTACAGGGAACGGCTCCAAAGTAGCAGGCACCCCCCTCCCCGCCCCCCCCAATTCCACTTCCCTCCTGAGAGTATGACAGTCAACTCCTTGACAGCACAGAGAACTTTTTTCTTTTAAGCACTAAGT